TCATCGGCCAAAATATGACCGGTACACTTCACAAAAAAGTATACCGGTCAAACTACTTTGTCGTCCTATTTATTCCAGACTTCGATAAATTCGTCCCTCGGAGATTACCCGGTGTAGTTTCTGGGGTTGGAAAGTGTCGGCAGAGGAGGATCTGCGAGGGCTTGGCGTGTAGCGACCCGTGTCAGTAGAGGACAACTGGAGATGCTGAAGAATCCATCCAAGGCACTACTTGACAAAGGGAATGATCCCCTTCACAAGGCGACAAGGCAGCTTGAGGACGAAACCAGTCACCTCGCACCACATCAGCAGCATGCCCCCACGTGGGCGCACGTGGTCCTGTCCCCTTAGCCTAGTATAAATACTCATGTAAACCTCAGAAAGAGGGATCCGAATTCATTCTCTCTAAACTCCCTTGTAAAAGCACCCGTGCATTCTCCGTTATAATATAAATTGGGCTACAGGTGTTCCACCTAAAGTCCTACCGGTCAATCTGCGTGTTTTTACCTTTCTTACTTTGCCAAATCAAGCGAACTATTCTAGACCCGGTCTAGTATAGTTTGACCGGTCAGGTAATTTACACCATCACGTATTATATATAAGGATCCATGAATTAAATATAAAATACATACTCCCTCCGTCGTAAATTATTTGTCACATTTACTTTTTCATCAATCGCGGGAACTTTTGTTTATTTCTACGTTTTCAATAAATTATTCTTAACACATCTTATTTCGAACAACTTTTCATGTAGTTTTTTGATATGTAATTTTTATTTTTTTACCAATATGTAAATAAAATGAATTGAAAAAACTTGATATTTTGTCCTGTTAATAGAAATATGACAAATAATTTGGGACGAAGGGAGTAATAAATATGGGCATTTACAGATACCATCCACGCCACGTGAATTTACCTTATTAATGGGTTGGCATTTCAAAATTTGACTCCAAAGTCAAAATCAACTTGTGGGGTGCAATTGACGGGGGTAGGGGGTGTGTTCGGGTCGGGGCGGGGGGTTTACCGGGGGGTAGGAACCGTCAATTTTATGAACGGAGCACCAGAGCGCCCCCGGGTCATCCCATGACATTGGAACCCCACCCAAGAAAAATATAATTCTTATCTTACCTGAAGCCCTGGTGGAGTGGAGGTTGCATCATTGCATCATTATTTTTTATTTCAACCTTCTCTAGGGAATGGGGACACTTTAACACTTTAATACTTTGGACAATCTTCTAATCAATACATAAAAAAAATTTGCTTTGCTTAATTGTTTTAGAAATTGACTGGGAGCGAATGCTCCCATTAGCTCTTGAACATTGACGGTTATCTTAAAATATTTGTAATAGTTGCTGGAAACTGTATGCTCTACACCGTATGTAGGTCCATAGACACATCGTGTTGCTATGTACCCCGGAATGAAACCTCTAACGAGACCACCATTGGTAAAAATTGTTGAAGCAACAGCTCCTTGAAGGCCAACACTACCTCCTCCATAGGCAAGTTTAATCTTTGTCCTTATCAATTCCCTTCCTAAATCTACCGCAGTAGCCATAAACTTTAGATTTCTACCAAGAGAATGACTGCCAAGTAGACCAACGAATCTTATAGTGTAAGGAAGCGTTCGAGAAGTTCCTTCCATAATGTGAGAATGTGAGATACTCTTTCCATAATCGTGATATATATAATCTCTGAAACCTGACCATTGAGGGAAAAGTAATTATCACCAGCCAAAATACGTACAGTAAAATGGACTCAAATTACCTGCACACAAGAACGTAATCGCTAATGCTATAGTCTGCTGACGATATGACGTATTGAGACTCTTGAACAGTTAGATTCGATGTCTTAAAACACGTTCAAATCCGAGACGAAAATTCAAAACGGCTATTTCCTAAGACAACGATCTCTTGAATAACTTCCAAAGAGTAAAACATTGAAGAAAGAAAACTTACGATTAGTAACGGTAATTCACAAACGCTATCTTTGTATCTTGTGACTCATATCTTTGTATTACTCAAACTTGCTGTGTTAACCACATCATTGAAACATCTCACTTGATCAATCTTGAAAAGATTGAATTCTATTGCCTGTACCAAACTATTGGACTTTGAAAGATTTGTCTTGACTTACGGTTCATTAAATCCCAAAGATACTTTATGATACCGAACTTCGAAAACTATACGTTGTGAACTACGTAAAACTACCGTGACTTAGATATTATCTTAAACATCTCTTTGTGGACTACAAAATGGTTGATGCGATTGCGTTATCTATGAAGAATATTATCGATGATCTCATTGACCAAACAAACTCCATCATGACCCTAGAAAGGGAATGTATGTGCGACAACCAAAGAAGAAATGACGCCAGAATGATCAAGCTGAATCATTCAAACAAAAATCCCGAATTAACATACGATGTTGGTGTAAGAACTCATAAGACTCCTTACTCTTTGAATTCGTGAATTAAATCACATACTGAAGATGTTCTCTTCTTCCCTCGGAATGAGATTAACCATAGTATTACAATTGAATCTGTCGCTATCATGAACGTATCTTGATCAATAAAGAAGGTTGAATACGACAAGACATATATGAAACGCCACTCGAATGTTATCACCAGTGGATGCAAATAGATGCAAAGACTCATTAATGATAATGAAGTGGATGAAGAAATGCTTTGACATAAGATCAATGATGACAAGTACTGTTGGTCTTATGGGGGACCATCGATCACCCTTAGGGATTCGCTACTGTGCTAGTCACGGTATCGGGTACTGACAGCCCAACCTGACGAGGTACACGAGTCGTGTATCTTGCGAAGCCCCTCCTGTCCATCCACCGCTCAGTAGTGGGGCTCCGCTCTGCCGTAGTGAACTATAGGGGGTGCCCTATAGGAATCTACCTCGGCTTGGGGCTACAGAGAGATGTGGTTAAATATAAAGTGTCCACCTCCATATCACCAATTGGTTTTAGGAAGCATTTGGCACCTCTTTAACTTCAAAACTCTGTAGTTAAGCGTGCTGGAACGGGAGTAGTCCCAGGATGGGTGACCCACTAGGAAGTTCCAAAAAACGATCCTACAAGTACTTCCTCATAAATGATGATGAGTCCCATATAAGTTATTTGATGTTATTTATAAGTTCCTACAAGCCATTTGATGTTATTTATAAGTTCCTACAAGCCATTTGATGTTATTTATAAGTTAATTCTAAACTATGTGAATGATGTGAAGATATTTTGGATGACTTTGAAGATTACGCTATGATGTATGAATTGAAAACAAATTCTAATTCCCCAACTGTACCTACTGTGAATATGATGATTTAAAATTGAGAATACTTTTGAAAAACTCTCGATCAAAGGGAGAATATCGTTAACCGACGTTGTACAATTGGAAATTGAGAATAAATAAAGTTTTGTGCAAATATGTCAAGTAGATACAACCCTATGCACCGCAAAGGAACTTAGGTTGTTGATACTAAAGGATCACTGAAATGTTGGACGTAATCATATATTGTTAACCTCTTGAAGAAAGAACGAGTTTGATAAGATCGACAGTTTGAGAATACGTATCCGTGTGGATAAAGACGTAATCATGATTTAACCAAGTGAACATGACGCGATCATGATTTTCGTAAATATAATAAGATGTTAATTGTGGAACTTTAGAAGAATTTCGATGACGAAATTCCTTTAGGGGGGGGGGGCGAATGTAACGCCCCAAAACATACCCTAGAATTATTAATAGATAATTATCCAATTAATCAAATTTAATTTGATTAAAATAAATTATTGTTGGGCTTTATGCCAAAATAATATGTGTTTAATATCCAATATTAAAATCAGGATAAGTCTTATAGGGATAAATCCAAAATGTTTACTAATTGTATGATCTTGATTGGGAACCTGAGTACAGACCCAAAATCAAGAATAAATGAATAATGTGTTTATGATGAAATAGTTTATTGAAATAAATCATAAGAATAAATATTATGAATTGAATATGAGCACCTTTTTGAGTAAAGGTCAAACAAATCAATTTTGACTTTATCAAAGTCAAGTACCAAAAAAATATGATGACTGAAAAAGTATATCAAATAAACATAAAAATTATATCATTGAATAGAGCTTGACTATCTGATCGCAACGGTGCAAACGGAATTCGATTCGTAAAAAGTTGAACAAAAAAATGTTCCCCGACTGGGACCAAATTAGTCCCAATCAGGGACCAAATTAGTCCCAATCAGGGACTTACATTTAAAATTGGAGAAGATAGCAGCCCGCTCCACTCAGCCGCCAAAATAGTCGAAGGAGAGGTCATCAACATGTGTCTTCTTCCTTTTCCTTCTCCTATAAAAGGCTACCATAACTCCCTCCATTCTTCACCATTTCTTACAAAATTACATTCTATTTTGTTCATTGTTGAGAGAGGAGTGCAGTGGTGCTGTCATCTTGGTGAGAGGTCGCCGGAGTTGGAAGCAATTGTCGCCGGAAGTTTCGCCGGAAAATCTTCAAAACCTTTATTTATCTTCGAGGTAAGCCCGTAGATATATTTAGTGACTAGAATGTTCGTATAGATCGTTTCTACGTTCATAAACGGTCATTTGGTTGAGTTTTGTGTTTGACATGTTTGAGGAACCAAGAATCATAAACCATGGAATTGATGTTAAAACTATGAATTAATGATTTCAAAATGATCTATGAACCTTAGAAAATATTTCTATATAATTTAATTGAAGTTTGGTGATTAAAAATGAACTCAAAACTGACCAGAGGAAGAAGATGATGAACAGTAGACGAAAATCGATTATTTTCTTCATACGAATCGATTAGAACTGTGTTCAGAGGAGGAATTCAAAGTCAGTATATTTTAAAAAAAAAATCGATTATTTTAATCATAAAAATCAATTTAAAGTTATTAATCGATTATATTAATTATAAAAATCGATTTTTAAGTATTAATTGATTATTTTAAATATAAAAATCGATTTTTAGTAATTAATTGATTATTTAAAATATAAAAATAGATTTTTAGCAATTAATTGATTATTTAAAATATAAAAATCGAATTTTAGCAATTAATTGATTATTTAAAATATAAAAATCGATTTTTAGCTATTAATGGATTATTTTAAATACAAAAATCGATTTTTAGGTATTAATTGATTATTTTAAAAATAAAAATCGATTTTTCTCAAGTTCAGATCCTGTTCTGAAAATATATGCTCTAAAATCCACTAATTAATTATGATAATTGTATTTCCATAATAAAAATGATGTTTTTAACAAATAAAAATGTTATGTGATGCATGACGGTAAGTTAGAGTTTTAACACCCGAAGCTAGGCCGCTAATTGTTATTGAATATTATGTTGATTGATGATTATGGTAATGATTATTGATTGATGATTATGATGATTAAATCTTGATGAATATTCTGATTAAAAATGATAATTTGAATGAATAAATCATAATAAATATATTGATGATTGTGAAAATAATATGTATTGTTAAAGTATCTAGAAGACCTCTAAGATATACGCATATTAATGTTGATTTGAAAGGTATCTAGAAGACCTCTAAGATCTACCTATTTAAGTTAGGCCTTGCGGGTATGAACCCCGGTGGCTAGGGTTAAAATGTACGTACGAGATCCAAGAACCAAACTTGTATTGTTAAAATGTACCACCCACCCAACAGTGAACACTACACTGTCGGTTTTTGGTTGGCCTTAAGTGAAGGTAAGTTTAAGATTTTCAAAACCCTTTTATCTTAAATTAGGCCTAGCTTAAGGATTATTTAGGAATATTTTATACTGGAATATAGTTTAATTATTTAAACTAGAATTCGTTTAAGGGTTGAGAAATATTAAAGTGATTGGCCTTAGACTAAGAATAGTTTAAGGATATTGTTGAATGTTGAATATTGAATATGAATAAATATTGAATGATGAATATTGAATTGAATATTGCAATTATTATGAATGACTGATGAACATTGAATGTGAATACAAATGTTGAATAATGAATGATGGATAATTTTTAATAATTATTGATTATCTGAACTGAACATTATGTGCATGATATCAAATGATTTGATTATGAATTAAGATTCAGTTTATATGGATGTTTGATGCATTAGATATGCTTACTCAGCTTCAACGCTGAGCGTGTAGTATATTTTATTTGCTACACGTAGGTTAATGAAGTGACGTGATCTTGGAGGCAGACAGAGGCGAGATTGTCGGAATGGATGTGATGGTTTTAAATTAAAGAACATAAATAAATTATGTTTATGATTATGATTGTTAAGCTTCCGCAATATTGAAAGTTCCATACTGTTTATAATATGAAAAATATTATTGTGATAAATAAAAAGTGTTTGAAATGTTTTAAATTTTACGATTACCAAGTTAATACTTTAGTCCGAAAGGGGCTGCAGACCTGGACGGATTAGGGTGTTACAGTTTACATCTTGTCAATTAATTCGAAAAATGGATGATATTTTAAAATTTAATAATACAAATTACGTCAAAGAATTTCGGGGAAAAAATTACTTTAATATAGTAAGATTAAATTAAATCAACATTTATCAATAAAAATTGTGAAAAATTAACTTAAAATAACTTCCAAAAACCGATCAAAGTACAACCTCATGTTATTTAGTTTCCACATCAACAAGACAATGCAAATTGGATAGCAAGTATTTGTGATGGTCTTGCTGGAGAAGAAAATGATGGTTGTTGTGATGTTTTTATTCCAAAAGATATGCTGCTGCGAGATACAAATTATCCCATCGCAACAATTGTTCAAGCTAACTACCCTAATTTAGATAATAATGCAAAAGACCCAACCTACTTGCAAGAACGAGCAATTCTTGCACCAAAATTGGATGTGGTTGATGTAATAAATGATTACATGACTTCCATAAATGCAATTGGAGAAGCGAAGACATATCTAAGTTCGGATAGTATTTGCAAATCAGATTCAAATGTTGATGTCATATTTTCTAGAATTCTTAAACATCAGGACATCTGGTGTGCCAACCATGAACTAAAATTAAAGGTAGGGACACCCATTATGTTGTTGAGAAAGATTGATCAATCTATGGATTTGTGCAATGGAACTAGAATTATTGTGACAAGACTAGAGACACTTGTTTCCGGGGAAAGTGATGGGTGGTAAGAATGTTGGCAACGATGTTCTGATTCCTCAACTTTCTCTCACTCCTTCAGATACACAAATTTCCTTCAATTTCTAAAGGAAGCAGTTCTCAATTATGACATCCTATGCAATGACGATTAACAAAAATCAAGAGCAATCGTTGAAGCATGTGGAATAACTTCTCAAAGTCAGTTTTTAGTCATGGACAAATATATGTTTCCTTCTCTCGAGTAACCAATCGTCGTGGGTTAAAGATGTTAATTTGCAAGGATGAAGTACCCACTTCGAATGCCACGACAAACGTTGTTTACAAAGAAGTTTTTAAGAACATTTAATCTCTACAACTTTGTACTTTTATAACAATATTCCTTACATTTATTTTGTAATCTTTGAAATACTTACGAACCAAGTACTTTCATTAATATACATCATTTTTTTCTTATTACGAAAACAATATAACCATTACACTCATCTAAATTACTAGCCATGCAACGCACGGGTACGGATCTAGTACCTACTTATAATATACTTTAATCCTAGTCCCTAATCTCATTTCACATTTTCTTTTCTTTCTTTCACATTTATATCTTTTTTATCTTCTTCCCGCATGTGGCTTCTTGGTTTACATGTAGAAGTATTAAAACCTAAGATAATAAAAGTTTTTTTTGAAAACTATTTAGTCTATTACCACGTACAATGTAACGTCTATCTAAACATATTTTCTCAACCTACTGAAATACTCCGTACAATAGTCAATACTTCTACTAAAGTTTGAACATGTGATCATACCTTTAAAAGAGTCACACTTATGCCGCTTGACTACAAGGTTTCTCACAAAAAAACTAAAGCTCCGTTTGGTACACGAAGTATGGTATCACAAAAGTATGTGGATTCGAATTAGTAGTGAAAAAATGAATTGGAATTGGACAATTCAATTCTTTAAAATTTCAATTCCAATTCCATCAATTCCGTGTACCAAACGGGCCCTAGGAATTTTAAAACCCAAAGAAAGTACCAAATCCACACTAGTTTTTGCTTGAGACCTTCTTTGGCCTCTTCTTAGACATTGGATACACTGTTGCCAGCATTTCGTCTCGCGCAACATCCCACAAAATAGATTATTGTCTGCAATAGGAAATAAATGTAAGGAATATACACCACATGTCTACACCGGTGTCATAATATGACACCGGTGCATTTGGAGATCCTACGCTGATTTTTTAACTCCGAAATAAGTTCTACCCTCCTTACCCCTAACACCGATTTGTTAAAGTAGCAAATCAGTGCCAAAGGCGAGGGGATGGAGGTCAAGAGTAGGGGACTTTTTTGGGAGGGTTGGACCCACATCACGGCACAACGGAGGACTATAGGACCTGGTGTCATAATGTGTCACCCAAATTTGGTGTCAAAAGAGTCCTACTGAAACTCGGTGGGTTCTTTTGACACTGAGTTATTTGAAGACCCTACGATACTCTGCCGGGCCTTCTTAACACCCCCTTCTTTCTCGCCCCTGATGCTAAGTTGCTATACTGTAAGGCAAGTAGGCACCAAGGGCGAGAGGATAGGGGTCAGGAGTAGGGGGGTTGTGAGACGGGTTAGATGGATAGGTCCCACTTCGCAACACAATTGAGCATCATAAGATCTCGGTGACATAATATGACACCCAATTTGGTGTCAAAAGAACACCACCGAAACCTCACATAAGATTTACGAGTACCCCTCCTATCAAGTTGACCCTTTTCTTAATAGTACCAAAGGAAAGAATAGAGCATAAGTTACTAGAATGACGAAAAGGACGAGATTGAAGACCGCAACCACTCTCCATTCAGTTTTCATGTACTCAGCAACTCCGGCCCTAAGAGGAAAAAAAGTTCATTGAATGTCTCAAAGAGGAGTGAAAAGAACGAAGAAGAAGCCGGGCATAGCAAACTCACTTGCAAGAATCACAGTTATAGCACAATATATCTCTTTTGTTTTCGTAGAGCATGCAATCCTTGTTGGAGCTGTTTGGATGGAAGGTCAGGTCATAATATGACGCGTTCTGGGCTGGATAACCACACCTATATATAAGACAATGGCATTATTAACATACTTAGCTACTTTCCAAAGAAAAAGTTAGTGTTTAGTTTAAAGAGTTGCAGAAATAGCTGATAAAAAGAGAAAAGTGTTCTGCCAAACGGGGACGAAAAGAAATTCATTGTTCTTTCGACAACCATTTTGGGTGTCATAATATAACACCGAGGTATTACAGTGCTCCGTTGGGAGCATGGAACCCCTAAAACTTTCCCCCAAAACCATCCAAAAAAATCCACCCCCACCCCTACCCAGCCTCCTATAGCATTTCGACAAAATGCTGGGGAGAGCTGGGAGGCTAGGGGTGGGGGAAAATAGCTCGGTGTCATATTACGATATGAGTGTTGGTGTCAGAATAACTGGGTCAAGAAAAGAAATGCTTACTCCGATGGTGGCCTGCAGCAACCAGCTTCAATTGGACTTAGCTTTGCATATCTATACTGCTTGAGATTCTGTAAGAAATAAGCTCATAAACCCCTCATATTAGAGAGGTTTTTTTCAAAAAGAAAAAAAGATTAAATTCTATAAATGGTCCTTAATTACAAGTAGTTTTCCATATTTAGTCCCTGATTCTAAAATATTACACCTCAATTTTTGAAAACTACTCCACAAATAGTCCTTTAGGCCAAATATGACAAGATATTTTTTCCATGTATAGTCATAGAAGGACTGATTATGCAATAGTTTTAAAAAATTGAGGACCATTTATGTAATATCTTAGAATTGGGAAGTAAATATAGAAAATCATTTGTAGCTAGGGACCATTTATGGAATTTACTAAAAAACAACAACAGAGTAATCCGAGTTACCAACCTTATATTTTTGGGACAGGTTATTGCAGTCGTCAGATTTCACAAGACAGTTCCTCAGGTGTTCCCAGTTATGAGAGCTATTGAGCTAAACATCATAGCACGAAATGAATGGCTAACCAAGAACGATAAATCTTGAAAAACTATGAAACTTCAGGAAGTCTTGATGATCTGATCAATGCAATACCTGTTTTAGGAACCAAGAATGATAATCTTGGAGTTGATATTCCTTGTACCTGACCACATAAAATGATATTAGTTCGGTTCTAAATGACTGATCAAATTCTTCGGCGTCTTGGTTGGGTCCAATTCCATTCTGTCAAGAAACTAATTCAACAAAAAGCTCAAGTTTTCGGTTGTAGATCTAGAAAAGATTTTACACTCTAAGGTTCAAACTCATTACTCTCTATATTAGCAAAGCTCAGATACAAAGTCAATGAACCAGTTCAACCGAATGTTTGAGCTTTTGGTTGTGGACCCATTCGATTTTTTTTTTGTGCAAAACCCAAAAAATTGTGGCCATTCCAGAGGAACAGAGCGACATCAACACGACAATATCATTCATGCAACTTCATCTAAAAATATAGGATCTCACTCTGATGAGGAAATATAATCCAAGAATTAAGGTGATACCTCAAGCCACTTACACTGTAACCAGAACCCTTATTTGTTACAATAAATCTGCAAAAGTATAAAAACATAGCAATATAACACACACATATATATTGAGTAGTACACTCATGCAAGTTGAAAGGTTACTAATCCAAGTATCCAACCGTCCCAAAAAGATGTGCTCAGTTTGACTTGGTGCAATTTTTAATATTCTGTAACATGAAAACTATTGTGTGATTGGCACTTGAGAGAGAAAAAACATTAGCCTCATAAGACTTTCCAAAGACAGAAACATCCACCTCTTTTTGGGTCGGACCAAAAAGGAAAACATAAAAGTTTTTTGGGACAGAAGGGTACATAGTTTTCCCAAAATGATCAATGGTTGAGATTACTTACGCCAAGACAGTAAAGATCAAGATTGCCACCAGAATTAACAGCAGCATGATCAAGTACTGAAAACCAAGGTCAAGAAACAAGCATAAGATAATGCTGTTAATACATTGATTATGTGATTCTTGTGTAAATACTCAGTATACATCAAATAAGGATGGTACACACAATCCATAACAATATGGGGTTGCTCTTCCATGCACCAAAGAATCCAAAAACTGATCTGAAAACTCAATCCAAGAAAAGGCTCTTATATCATAACAAATTTCACATCATAAAGAACCCATACACTACAAACAAAAACTCAACACTGATGGATATATTGGGACATGCTCAAATATGTATAGTGAGTGAGGTCAAATATACTTGCTCTGTTCTATAATTATTATTATATTTAGACACACCTAAGCCCACATGTATAGTAAGAAGACACTACGTCATATTTTTGATACTTTAGTGGATTAATATCCATCACAAACTTACCTATGGAAAGGGGCATAGAGTCTATTTCTAATAGACATTTGATGCATTGTTGCATTTACTAGCCAAAAGTTCTTAGAAAGTAAGAAGCAAAGTAAGTTTGGCGTGCCATATTTTATTTAGGGGGGAGGTTCAGATGACATTAGTCTCCCATGTCATCCTATTGATGGTTCCTACCCACCAAACCCCCCCGGTAACCCTCCCCCCCACCCCACCCGATCCAACCCAAACCTACCCCCCACACACTCCCTCCAATTGCACCCTACAAAACTTAGTTAAATTTGGGTCAAATTTTGACCCAAAGTTAACTAAATTTTGTGGGGTGCAATCGAGAGGGGGTGGGGAAGGGATCGGTTTGGGTCAAGCCGCAGTGGGGGGGTTTACCCGGGGTTTGGGGGGTAGGATCCTTCAATTTTTCGAACGGAGCACCATAGATGCCTCGGATCATCCTATGACAATAATGATTTTTTTAATAGAACTCCAATAGCAATGGATGCCAATATGCCATATCATAAGTGAACCAAGATTCATTAATTTGAGGCTTACATGAAAAAAATCAATATGCCAAGAACAACGATATGAAGAGCTAGAGATTTTCGACAGCCATCGTGGTTAGCATTCATCCAAAGCCCAAATCCGATTACACCCACGGCTAAAATCTGCATTTTGAAGATGAAAAGAATTATAACCAAAGGACCAATCTACTGAAACAATATACACAGAGTGTTCTCACTTCGCCAATCAAATTCTAGCCATCTGATTGCAAAATTAAGCTCAAGAAGAACCAAAAGATTTCATTTTTGTGTGTACATTAAAAAACCGTGCCTAACCCATTATAATGCTCCATTTGTTTCAAAAAAAAACATTTATCAGCAAAGTTTGGTTAACAATTTGGAAGAATATGCATTTGCCATGAAAAAATTGAAATCTAATTATAGCTCAATGCTTTTTGTGCTCTTTAATATTTATATGGAAAATTCGGAGTCTCTTGGAAATAGACTCTCTACTTTCTCTAGGGGTTAGACCTGTGTACGCACACCCGTCTCCAACCCCAAATTCTTGTGGGATTTTGTTGGGTCCTTTATTGTTGCCTTTCTTGTATTTATACGGAAAATGACTTTTTGGGGTTAAACATTTCTCCTTGTATTGTACATCTACCAACTTATGGAGTATTTTTTAAGAAAACATTCACCCCCCTAAAACATTCACAACTTATTTTCAAACAAAAGGAGCATTTTACACAAGAGCAACAAACTCATTAAAATCCCACAAAAGAGTAGGGTCTTGGTAGGGTCAGTGTGCTAAGACTTTACCCATACTCGCCCCTACATTTTTGTGGAACTTAGATAGACTATTTCCAAAGGAAACTGGCTCAAAACACTGAAACAAATAACAAAAAATTCAATCAATTTAGGAGCAACTAACTGAAACTGGAGATACCCAAAATAGGAAAAGCATATATTTTTTCATTTAAAAAAGAGTAAACAAGAAATGGGTATGTTACCATTGTGAGAAAATTGATCCATCTGATTACAAAATTGCTAACTGAGCCCATTTCCACCTTCTCTTCCCTTCTTCCCACTCATTCAAGAACTCCAACATATATAAATGTATACACACATATATACATATAAGGAGAGAGATTTTGTGCAGAGTTTGGGTATGAGAAGGCTCGAGAGAGAAGATGAAACTTGCACATTTAACTTTCTTAGCACAGCAAAGCAAAGAGGAATGACAAATTCTGGTGATTAGGATGAAAAGAAAAGGGCATTTTGGGCAATGTAAAAATGCCCCTGCCCAGACGCGTTTGAGACGAAACGGCTAAAAAGAGGGAGTGATAAAGCGTATACGGCAACTATACAGGGCCTGTAAGATACTCCCTCCGTTTGCAAAAAAGGTTCCTACTTTGACTTGAATCCAAAATAAAGAAAGGTTAAATTATAGTAATTGACTTCTAATTTTATTCTTGATGTAATGAGTAAAAGTAAGATGTGATGGATAGATTATTAGAGAAAAAGTATCATGTGATAGATAGGGTATGAAAAAGTAAGGGTAAAAGTGGGTTTTTAATAGAAAGTGGAAGTGTTTTGTTGGAAGTGAAAAAAATGTAAGAGCAAGTGTTTTTGAGAACGGATGGAGTATAAGATTCGTACACATACTATTGTTTAGGTTTCAAAAAATAAGGTAAGAAAATTGACTTTTAATTTTAATGGAGAGTTAGATTGAAATTTTGAAGTTGCACCAAAGTGCAGGAAACAATAACTAAGCGTAGAGTGCAACATAATTAAGTAGCACCTCTTCATCTACAAAATCTATAAGTGATGGCTCGTAACAAGTTATTGGTCCTATTTAACGTTTTGGCCGGTATATAGGAACATAATTTTGCGTTGTATTTGGTATTTCATCCATGTTTCTATTTTGGGACTTTATCTCAAAATAAGTTTGACATTAAATTTAATATTGTAACACTCACAATAATGTCAATGTTTTGCATTGCGCTTTTTGTGGGACTAAGAGGCTGTTTGTTTCAGCCTCTTAATGGTTCAGATGTCTGAATGGTTCAGCACTTAATGATTCAGACTGTTTGTTTCAGTCTCTTAATGGTTCAGATGTCTGAATGGTTAAGAGTTTTGCTTCTGAATGGTTAAGTATTATACAGAGTCTGAATGGTTAAGACCTCTTATCTGAATTGATCAGACATTTGCCTCTGAATAGTTAAGCAATATACTAGCTCTTAATGGTTCAGACCTCTTACTGGTTCATCACTTAATGGTTCAGACCTCTTACTCATTCAGCACTTACCTATTCAGAAGTTGCCAAACAGCTCCTAAGGCTTTGTTTGGAAAACAACTTTACGGGTAGATTTTGAGTGACATTGGTTTTTTGACTAAGTGAACAACAAAACACATTGTTTGGCTTATGACTTTTTTACTTGGCATTTTGATCTGAAAAGCCGACGGGATTAGCTTTTGGACTTGGTTGTTAAAAAAATTTATTTTTAAATTCATTTTTCTCAAACAACATTCTATAGAAGTTCATTTTTTTCTAAGACAATGTTTTATAGCCAGGTTTCCACACCCTAAAATTTCTAAAAACAATAACACTTCCATCACATTTAAAGAATGAAGTGTGAAATTGTATGGGTGGCAACAAAGGCTAACACAAGTCATCTTATTATAACCAATCTTCTCTAAATATTATTCATAATTCTCATATTAACATAATAAAATATCTGGTGGATTGAAGTCCATCATCCTCAAACAATGATATTGTAATCTATATTTGAATTTTAATTTTCTATAAAAATAAAAAATACAAAAAGAAAGGAATCAACCAAAAAGAATGCCTTCAAAATTCATCGTCTCATAATAAATCTCACTATTTTTTAAACATTTTTTTCTTTAAATAGCGGGAGCATCATCGGTTCCACCGACAATGTCGCTCTGTGAATCCTCTGGCTTGAGCTCGTCAGTGTCGACAACTTCCTGAGCTCCACTGCTCTTTTTGCCAGAGGTACTTCTGTTGAGATTATTATAACTACCCTTTTCTTTGAATAGTTGAGAGAAGTGAGGCTTGCAATAGAGGAGTCCATCCAATGCAGCATAAGAAGAGGTTGTGAGCTTGCATCCTCCATGAGAGCACTTGAAGCAATTTTGGTGAAAGTAATACCCATCCACAGTTACCTAATCACGATATATTACTCCTCAATATACAGAGTATTTATATCATACATCTAGATATAAGATATTTACTGTACATGCGACATATGCATGTCTATAAGTTACACAATTATGATTTCACATATTTATTTCTTTGCACATACTTACAACATGTCAATTTAATATATAGCACCGAAACTCTTGAAGATATGTGAATGTTTCTAACATTGATGTAGTCAAGCGGTGTGTCCCGTTGAGGTTGGGATGATGATGATACAATGTAATTTGACAAATTATGTGAAATGACCAAGTGGTTGGAGATTTTTAGTTAATATCTTTTGTCGAAAGTCTTTTCCATAATAAAAATGGTAGCCAGGTGGCGTTTTATGTTGGTTGGTAAGATGGTGCATGATAATTGAGAGATCAAATTGATTATTACTAAAAAAGCACAAAGTCCCATATAAGAGGTTTTAGAAAAATTATAAGTATGTATTTAACTTCATTAGTATGGAGTCGTCTGAAAGGTGCCCTGCAACAATTTGTAAGGTTTATTCTAAAGTCGATAATATGACACTCATCATGTAGATCGAGTTAAGAGTGACAAGAGGCAACCCCAACATTTTGTGAGTAATCTACGGCTATCACCGAGCCCTTTTAGAATGTAGCATGACCCCAAATACTCCATATTATTTAGTTCAACTCAAAATCTTTAATTAAAAATATGATATTTGCATCTCCTCAAAAGAGGTTTTATCAAAATAAATAAAATTAATGTCAATTTAAAGAAAATTAACACTTAAATGGAATTGAGCAAGCACTCTCATAGATAAGAATTTAAGAGTGTATTCCATAAATGGTCCTAGAAAACATAGTGGGATACCATTATATAGTGTTATAATATCACAGTGCAAACTCCTATTTTGGGAATGGAATTAAAACATGAAATTCCTATTTTGAGAATAAATGCTATGTTTTACTCTTATTTATGATAATTTCTTAAAAATATATGTTATTAATGGAATTTATTCAGAATTTAATGTTAGCCATCAATATTGGCATAAAATTATCTTCATCTTCACTATTAATTGGGTCAAACAGTATCCACTTTGTTTGCATATTTTCGTTACTTATTTGATACTCCATAAAACATATAATCATGTCATCTCTAAATTGAACAAAGTTAACTTTAGAACGAAGGAACCAAATTTTAATGCTAATTCTCCAGAGTTTTTTTTTATACATAAATATGGGGCAATATGGCTGACCTTCTCCAAGGGGTATACAGTTTTGTTGCATGTTGCACACTTTTCTTGGGTGCCAGAAAATACTGAAGACAGTTTGCTAGGGGTCCTTGCCTGCATTAAGATATAAGATTTTTTTTCTATAAAACTATAAATAAATAGGAGTAACATGCACTAAAAAAGGAGTAAAAAATCTATTCTTTATATCTTTGAGCATCTTGCATACAAATTCTGGGGGTCCCAAGTCATATATATGTTACAATTTGATAAGCCAAACAAAATTTCATACTCCAAAAGGCTTGCCAAATTTTTGACCAATTTGCTAAAAAAATGAAAAATGTTTTGTTACTAATAACAAGCTTGGTAAAATATAGCAAGCCAAAAAAGAAGAAGAAAAATGTTGATTGGATTTTTTTTCATGTGCTACAACACATTTGTTCTCTCACATTCAGTGTCAATGCAAGAAGAAAAATAAAATATTATTTTATTTTTTAAAAAAAATATCAAAAACATTAGTATTTTAATTCAAATTATTATTTTTAAATTGCATACTTACAGAGTATTACTTAGTTTTTAAACAATAAAATAATAAAATTTAAGATTTATTGTAAATAGTGTACTATAATAGTAAAATCAATACTCCGTATATGTTAGCTAAATTATAACAAGGGAAGGTTAGTTGGAGATGACAATGCAAAATGTCTTATTATACCACTATTCATATGCTAAAAAATGGATTTAGCAAGTCATGTTTTGCAAGCGTGATCAGAAATGCTCTACCCTTACATTTGTCCAAATAAAACTCTACCTTTTCAAAGTCAAATTTTATAAATGTTCTAGCCTTCTAGGTGTCATAAAAATGTTTCACTTATTAAAAGAAAAGAAAATTGAATTGTGGACTTTTTTTAAATCTCTTGAGTCAAATGGTATCTTTTTAGTGTCTAATTAGCTTCCACATTTTGAAAATGATATCCGATGATATTTTTTAGTGCTAACCTTTTTAAATCTAATTTGTATATTTAAACATAAATACTAATGGTAATCATAAAAATGTTTCCAAACAAAGCATAAATTTATATTTTCACGTGCGAGTTTTAATTAATAAATACTACGTAGAATATAATTAGAGCATCAAAGAGATGTGTGGAGAGAGTGTGTACCAAATCGCCTTGCTTCCCAACTTCTCGTCCATGGCAAAAAATCAGAAAAAAAATGTATGATTAATTAGTTATTCGAGTATAAATAAATATTATATTGTAATATAATATTTATATAGCGCACCCTGACACACTTTAATAAGACGCGCTATAAGCACGGATATATCCGTGCGTACGTCCGTAACTTATGCGCGTCATAATTAATGCAGGAAACGGTAGGGTATAGGCACGGTAATATCCGTGCCTACGTAAAGCTCGTCAACGGCTTTGTCAGAGAAGGTTCTAGTATCGACTGTAGGCACGGACTATTCCGTGCCTATGTTTTGGACTTAACACCGTCGAGTGAAGCCGGTGACGGTTTTAGAATTGCGGTGTTGGCACAGACGTCGACATGGAAAAGCTAGAGCCAACTCCCTTCACGTATTAAATAGCGACGCGTGGCATTAATTTTTTCCCTCGGTGAAGGCACGGAACGTCCGTGCCTATAATTCCGTGCCAATTACGCATTTTTTTTGTAGTGATACAGTGAATAATACTAAAAAATCATTCGAGCATAAAAGTGTACACAATAATTGCAAGGGTGTTGTTAAATCCAGGCTAAAACTGGACATTTGCCACAAATGGGAGGTACAAACTATTTTACTCACTCCCTTCAAAAATTATTATCGTCTAGTTTATTAATACAGAGACATTTCTTTGTTTGTATGTGCAAATTTATTGATTGTTTGATAAAATAAAATAAATATGTCATTACTTGTGTTTTAGAACTTTTGATATAGTTTTAAATATATATGGAGTATATTTTATTTTTTATTTTTAAATTAATTTATAAATAAAAGAGTAAATTCCATAATTGGTCCTTTATAACATACATATCCATTTGATGAAAAGACACATGACATTCAAATGTTTAATATAAAACATTCAAATATTTTCTCGAATAAATACAACATTTTTGGTAAAACTGTAGAAGCAACGTTTCGCTTATAAACTGCTATATACATTGAAATTTTTTATTCAAACATTTGAATGTTTTGTGACTGGTTATGTTGTTTCACAAAGAGACATATCCGATCAACTTTACTTTGTATATATATAGAGTCACATGGTATGTTTGAACGCGGTAGAACTTTCTTGCTCATTCTAGACACTTATATTTTATCTGATTGAAACCCGAAAGAACTTTAATCTGAAAGCATATTTCACAGCTACGCAGCATTGTCTCCTCAATGCATTAGTCTTTAATGGAAACAACTCTCACTTTTGTAGAAGTAAAATCATATACATCTTGATTTCAAATTTAAACAGAAATGAGATTATACATGATAGCTTGTTGTTTTCTTCATACATGTTTAGTTTTTGACTTCCAGCAACACGATAGAGAAGTAGGAGAATGATACGGATAGTTAATTATGATATTTTAGTTAGTTATATTATTATTTAGTAGTAATTAGGGTTTAGGGTTTTAGTATGGGCCCGAGCCCATTAGGTCAATTAGGTTATCTTCATCCTTTATATATTGTAATCCTTCGTTATTATTATTGAATCAATCAATAATAAAAAATTCTCTAATATCCTCTTCTTTCTTCTCTGGAGCCCGGAAACGCTCGAAGTTTTCCGTTTGGAGCTTGAAGACGCTCGAAGTTCTTCCTATCCGATACCCTTTTTCGTATCAAAGTGCTCTCGTTGAGAGAAATCCAAAAAAACAACAAAAAAAATCAAAGAAGTCGACAAACCAGGTCTACCTCAAACCAGGGGCTTGCCGCTGGCCTACCTCAAACCGCCGGCCTACCTCAAGAAGTCATCAAAGTGGAGTTCCAAGGCTTGCCGCCGACCTACCTCAAACCAGATCGCGTGGTGCCGCCCTAAATCGCACGTTGCCCTGTTCTACTGCCGCCGGCAACCCATCTCCACCACCAGCCGCCTTGCAGATTGAAACCCTCATCGGCAAAGACGGCAACTTCGACATCTCCTTGCTGGAATCACGCCGTCGTCTCCGCCAAGAGAAGGAAAAAAAAGGGATCACCGAGACAAAATTTGGAGATTAGCAACATTGAGGAGTGCCGCCATGACCCATGCATCATTAGGGATGGCAATTCAACCCGAACCCGAGCTTAACCGACCCGATCGACCACTAAAATATCCGAACCCAAACTGAGAATAAAATAATCCGAACCCAGACCGAAATTTTTTACCTGAACCCGACATCGGGTCGGGTGTGGGTTTATTATTTTACCCGACCCGACCCGAACCCGCACCCGACCCGACTCAAACCCGAATATTTTATAACATAAAAGCCTATCTATATATATAATGAGCACTCCATATAATCTTTTGACAAAGTGCTACTATATCAAGTATGTCATTTATAACATTTTTATAATTCCTTAATAAAAAATGAGACACAAAAAAAAATTAGATTTAATCTTTTTAAAATTATTGGGGTACATTGAATTGATTATTGGTTAAAAGTCGGGTTCGGGTCGAGTTCGGGTTTTGGGTTGGAATGTAGGGTTCGGGTCGGATCGGGTTTTTGGCTTAAAAAGACGGGTTTCGGGTTGGGTTCGGGTTTCGGTTTTAAAAGTCGGGTCGGGTTCGGGTATAGTACTATCCGACCCGAACCCGACCCGTTGTCATCCCTATGCATCATCCACCGTTATAGATCTCTGCACCCAGGTTCGTGATATTGGCCAGGTGTTCGTGCATGTGCAAAAAGTATTGGAATATCGATTCGATCAGATAGACGCCACGTTGTCGGAAATTCAGGCCCACTTAGTAAAGTCTTCGGTCGGTAGCATTAACGAAGTCACCCATACACCCAAGCTGGAAATACCCAAGAGTGATGGCTCTGAACCCGTGCGTTGGTTGCGCTTGGTAAAAGAATACTTTGCTTATTATGAAACCCCCTCAAAGGATCGTTTGAAATGTGTGACCTCGATGTTGGAAGGGGCCATTGCAGATTGGTTCCGTTGGCGTATGAATTACAGGCTCATTAATGATTGGGATGATTTTTTGCACAAGTTCAAAATTCGATTTGATCCCTTTCATTACGTCCTTATGGGGAAGATACCCGAAGAGGCCCAAGACATAGTCATTCAGGCATGGGAAGAGGCAGTTGCCCACCCAGCACCTGTGGGCCCACTGGATCTGAGAAATTGAGTGCTGGAGCACACGTCGAGGATGACATATACAGTGGGTCTGATGTAATGGGGGAAGAGGGGAACACCCCTGGTGGAGAAGATGAAGCGAACTACAAGCTCGAGTGTACACCTTGTGCCGGAGACGTCGAAAAGGGCCAAACATTGAGTTGTGTCATCGACCCAAATAGTCAACGCCCTCTTTCTTTAGTTTGGTCTTGCACAATCAGGATGTCTCCCCACCCCCTTATCATCAAGTTGGAGAATCAGGATTTGAAGGGAGCTGCTAGACATGTTATTTTTGGGTCTCACCCATATTTCCCGCACTGCGCCCCAAAAGTCAAGCCGGGTAAAGATTGGTCAACAAGTGCACATCTTCTTTTGTTCATCACTTTCTCACCTATCCAAAAACATGAGTGGAAACCTCCACCTTGAGGACAAGGTGGTTTTCTAAGAGGGTGGGAATGATACGGATAGTTAATTATGATATTTTAGTTAGTTATATTATTATTTAGTAGTTATTTATTATTATTTATTGATGGTTTAGGGTTTTAGTATGGGTCCGAGCCCATTAGGTCAATTAGGTTATCTTCATCCTTTATATATTGTAATCCTTCGTTATTATTATTGAATCAATCAATAATCAAGAATTCTCTAATATCTTCTTCTTTCTTCTCTGGAGCCTGGAAACGCTCGAAGTTTTCCGTTTGGAGCTTGAAGACGCTCGAAGTTCTTCCTATCTGATACCCTTTTTCGTATCAGAGAAGAAAAAGAAGAGTATAGGGAAGATGGAGGGGGAAGGAAAGACTTGGCTTAGGGTTATGGTTTGACACTGTAAATTATTTTATTATTTGAAAAACAAAAGTGTTAATATTGTTATTTTAAAAAGTTTGAAATAAATTTTAAAAACTACTCACCATTTTTCCTTTTTATTACTTTAAAAAAACAAAGTTTTATACGATATTAATAGATGTATTTACGTAAATAACACTAAAATATAATGACTTTACATAAATAGCACTACATGTGTTTTTATTTCCAATGTAGCACTTTTAGTTATTATCCATTAGTCATTATTCAAATAAATGTTTGCCATCACTAGTCATTATGGACATTATTAAGTGCTTTTTAGGAAATAAAACAATTTAAGTGTTATTTAGAAAAATGACTTAAGTTTTAGTTCTATTTAGTGCAAATATTTCATATTAATAAATATGTATCATTATTAAAACTATAAATTTTATTTAAAAAAAGATCATATGTAATAATTAAAGAAGATTTATATATAACACATATACTCGGTATCATATATCTAATAGAGTATTAAAATAATTAAATCATATTTAAATTCAAAAACTAATTTTATCAAAATGTTGAAAAAGTTAAAAGGTATTTGAAAACAATCTTAAAAATACTTTCAAAAATAATGAAGTAATTTTTTTGGTAACAGACCGCAATTTGTGTGGGGTGAATTTAGTTTTTTGACGGGTGTGATTATAATCTAAGGGTGATTTTTTTTTATCTAATTTAGTTTATCACGTAATTTTATCTAATGGCGATTATATTTATCATTAATATTTTCTATATTAATCAGTAACATTAAAATTAACTAAAACATTAATGCGAACGACAAATATTGTAACAACTAATTAACATAAAAGAGAGCCACATTAAATTAGGGGATAAAAGAAAACTAACATGATTGAGACCTTACAGTAACCCCCTTCTCTTTTAGGGTTTGTTCAAAATGCGGCTTGCAATACAACACTCCATCCATTGATGAATAATTGCTCAACTGCAACCAATCACAAAATCATTCATTAATTAATAATATAATAAGTCACATTTTAATTGACCCCAAAAAATTTGGGGTCACGAAAAAATGCATGCATAATTCATTATCGACCATAATTACTTCAGATCACTAATGCATGCAACAGACTGCAGACAGAATATCAGGTCTGTTTGGGAATAATGTTAGAGATTAGTGTCAGTGTTTTGGATAAAATTTCAACGGTGCAGATTACTTTGAAAACGTTAACGCTAAACGCTGCCCGTAGATAGCTTTTTCAAAACACTAACGCTATTCCCAAACAGGCTCTAAGTGTTTCACATTCACTTCAATATGTATTGTATATGTAATCTAATTGTAAATAAAATTTGAACGTATTTTTTATTTAATATAATCATTTTTCTTAGAATTTGTGAATATTTGCATCCTCAAAAAAGCACTTGTAGCTTCTTAATTCCAAATATATTAAAATAAAAATGTAGTGAGATTTACTACCTCCGTCCCAATGTATTTTTCCAGTTTGAATTTTTCGAGTCAAATTGGATAAACTTTGAACTCCAATTACTCTTAATTTGTATTGCATATTAACATAATGAAATATAATATTGAAAGTTTTCAATACGATAAATTCAATAAAGTCGTTTTTATGTTAAAATATAATACAGTTTTTATTTAATTGAAGCTCAAAGTTTGTCCAGTTTGACTTGAAAAAGTCAAACTGGACAAATATACTGGGAGGGAGTATATCCTAAAACCCTAGCAAATTAATGCGGGTTATGGAGTATATATACGACATTATTTATGAGAATTTAGTTTTGTGGATGGAATAATATAAAAATTATAGAAACCTAATTTTAGTTTTATACCAATAGTTCTAAAAATAAAATGCAAGGAAAATAATAGTGAAGATTATCATACCGCAAGTCTGCCATTACATTGGGAGCACCTAAAACAAATATTGTGATAAGGAACTCCCCCGGGAGATACCATTTCTGCAATGTAAACAGTTTTATCACAAGCCTTACACTTTTGCTGGGTTCCATTGTTGAAAGCCATTTTATTAGCTTAATTATTATGACAATAAGAATAAGATTTTTAAAAAAAATAAAGAAAATTTAAATAGTCCCCAGCTTAATGATCAATGTAATTTTTATGAGTGTGAAGAATTCATGACAAATGAGGTTTGAGATGAAATGTTTTGGGGAGGATTATATGGAATGGAAGACAAATGGTGCGGAAACTTGTGGATATGCAAATTTATTTCTAACCAAATTAGTGGATGAGTTTGGTGCCATTTTTTGTGTCACACAAAAACATGCAGTTTCTTTAATCATTGAAGTATGGGTTGACACGTGTTTGATTAATTGATTAACAAGGTAGAGTACTTGATCTTTTGTTATTAAAATCATGAACTACAAGTATTTTTTCCTTTCTAAATTTGAGTAAATTCTATAATAATATAAGATTTTAGATATGCACATAAGAAAGACCAAAATAAGACTAAAACTAAAGAAAAAGACCAAAATGTGAGCTTCATATTATCATTTCAAAATAGGAGTTACAATGTCAATAATGTCAACATATAATACCAAAAAATATTGTAGAATGCAAATAGGCATTGCCACATTGTTACAGTGCAAAGTCCTATTTTGGAGATAAAAATATATCTTTTCTATTTTGGTGATAATGACTATACTCTACTCTTATTTTGGATCTTGTTCAACTTAGTTGGTAGCTCTAATCGATACACTATAAGACCCACCTTTGGAATGACATGGTACGGTCCAATGGAATGTGGACTCATGTTTTCTTTCTTGCCAACACGAAACAATGCTTTCTTCCAATGTGACACCTTAAGAAAAACTAAATCTCCCACTTTGAATCAGGAGATCTCCTGGCTCTTTGAATCAACGTAGGATTTTTGCCAATGTGTTGCAACTTGTAAAGTAATGTAAATGATCTCAGATTACTCTAACCTTTTCTTTAGTTTCACGAACGAGCTCGGGACCCTTTGGTCTCAATTTGCTCAGCCTAGTCCAACACAGTAGATTTGTACACCTCCTCCCATATAACGTCGTGTATGGGGTCATTTGAATACTCGCCTAATAACTATTGTTATAGGAAAATTCCATCAAAGGCGAGTATCGTTCAATTCCAAAATATCCCTAAAATCAATCATGCAGGCTCTCATCATATCCTCAAGAATCTGAATCACACGCTCAACCTGTCTGAGGGTGGAAGGTTGTACTCAAATTTAATTTGGTATTGAATGCTTTCTGAAGTCATTTCCAGAATTTTGAAGTGAAATGAGGATCTCTATCAAATAGAATAGATACCCGTACTCCATGTAGCCAAATAATATCACTCAGATAAAGGTCGAACACCTTCTGAAGTGTCATATCTCGCCTGATAGGTAGTATGTGTGACAACTTTGTAAGACAATACAAAATGACCCATATGACATCGTTCTTATGGTAAGATAAAGGTAATCCAACCACAAAATTCATAGTAATCCTCTCTTACTTCAACTCAAAAATGGGAGGCGGATGCAATCTTGTTTTGACCAGGTGACAGGTCATAGAACGTGCAGTGAACTTGGATATCTCTCGCTTAATCGTTGGTCACTAGTAGTTTTCTTTCAAATCATGGTACATCTTGTTACTGCCAGGATGCATGGTGTATGCTCACTCACGAGCCTCGTGTTGAAAGCTCTCCTTCACGGCCCCACTCCGGACAACCAAGCAGCTCCGATCTAAAAGAACTAAACTCTATTTTCGCCCACGATGAACTTTTACCTTTCACTCTTAGAGACAAGCTCGCTAGTCTTATTGCAAAATTCACCGTCAAACTATGTACTAAGGATCTCCACGTCTAATGTTGGCTGCAAGCAAAGTTCTGCTATCATCTTACGGCTCAAAGCATTGACAGCCACATTTGCCTTACCTGGACGATACTCAATTATGAAGTCATAGTACTTCAACAACTCTAGCTAGCGCCTCTGTTTTACACTCAGGTCCTTCGATGTCACTCAGTATCTCAAGCTCGTATGGTCGATTTAGATAATAATCTTTTCACCAAACATAGTGTATTTAAATCTTCAAGGCAGATAAACTACTCATAACTCTAAATCATGCGTCTCATAGTAGTCTTTATGAGGTTTAAGCTGTCTCGAGGCATAAATGACCACTTTACCCTCCTGCATGAGCACACACCCAACACACATAGAGACACACTTCTATAGATGGTGTACTCATGACCCGGTTTAGGTTGGATCGATACATGCATGTTCCTTATTCAAACTTTTCTTTAGGCAATCAAAGCACTTTTGACATGCATATGTTCATGAAAATTTAACATCCTTCCTCAATAGCTTGTTTAGTGGGGAAGCTATCATGGAAAACCCTTCACGAATAGATGATAATAACCAGCCAATCCAATAAAGCTCCTCACCTCCCTGACATTGCGCAGAATCTACCAGTTAACTATGGCAGAGATCTTGTCCGGGTCAATCTTGTCTCTTTTTGCGGAGATCATGTGACCCAAAAGAGTTACCTCTTTGAGCCAGAACTCGCACTTGGATAACTTTGCATAGAATTTATGTTCTCTGAGAATAGTAAACACTTTTTTGTAGATATTGCAAATGCTCTTCGACATTCTTTGAATAAACCACGATGTCATCAATGAAAACCACCACACATTAAAGAAATCTAAGTAGGTCTTAAAGACAATGTTCATCGAATCCATAAAGATAGTTGGAGCATTGGTCAGTCCAAAAGGCATCACCGTGAACTTATAATGTTCGCATCACGTCCAAAATACTGTTTTGTGTATGTCCTCTTTTTTGACCAGAGTCTAGTGATGCCCAAATTTTAAGTCAATCTTAGAGAACACCGTTGCTCCTCGAAGTTGGTCAAATAGGTCGTCGACGTACATCAACGTGTAATGATTCTTGACGGTTGCTTTTAAAAATTGTTGATAGTCAATATAAAGTCCAATAGACTCATCCTTCTTCTAAATGAAGAGAACATATGCTCTCCACAGGAACATTGTAACACCCCAAAATACACCCAAGAAGTGAAGAACAAATTTCTAATAAATTGTAATTCTAATTTTGGCTTAAACTAAATAAAAATAGAAATATCAGTACTAAAAATAAGTCAATTTCTAAGTAATCTATTCATGGGCAAATTTATACTCGAATTGAAAGTCTCGATGAGATGAGTTCAACAACGTATTCCGCACGTAAATCAGAGTTAAACAAACTTAGTAATTTGACCGCCCCAAGAACCAAAAATAGTAAGTAAAAGGATAAAATATAAGTACATCATAAAGTCAAAATAATATATTCAATATTGTGTCTTTGGGTAGGTCTTGCAAAAAGATGACCAACAACATATTGTTTGTCAAGTTTGGAATTAAATATAAAAAGTTATGTACAAAATAAACGCTACAATTAAATAAATAAACAAAAATATTTTTTAATATAATAATAATATAATAATATATTCCTAACAGTTACATACTACCCATGAAAGAAAAACCCAAACTCCATTCCCCTTCCCATATATGAATACATTACGAATTATTGTTTTTTAAAAGAAAAAAAGCCAATCGCAAGCACATAAGGAGCCTGTTTGGGAATAGCTTCAGCGATTAGCGTTAGCGTTTTAGAAAGATTATCTACGGACGGTGTTTAGCATTAGCGTTTTCAAATTAATCTGCACCGTTAAAATTTTACCCAAAACGCTAACGCTAATCTCTAACGCTATTCCCAAACAGGCCCAAGGAGAGCCACCGATCAGTTGAGCAGCTGCAATTGCTAGTTTATTTTCTTTATTTGTTAATTCAATTGTTGGTTTGTATTAATTTTTCAAACAATCGAGGTGATTCATGGTTCATATATCCAATGTTAGAATTAATTTATATGAATAGTTCGTCATTCACATATATTCTATCAATTGATTACGTGTTGAGAGCATGATCATTGAACTCGTTGAAATTTGTTTTTGAATCATATATGTTGTTGAATCTGTAATAGGAGCATGTTCTTAGGACTTGTAAAATAACGGGTTTGGTTTAGTTCTTTTTATTCTTTTTTAGGCATTTTTAATATTTTTAGTGTTTAATTTTTAGTTGTTTAGCTTAGTTTTATTTTAATTCTTATTTTTACAATCTTTTAATTTTCTTGAATAAATAATAGCTTTTTAATCTTTTTTTTTTACATTCTTTTATTTTTATATTTATTTCCATAACCCAAAATTATTAGATATCTTATTTTTTGATGAAAAAATGTAGCAAAAGACCAAATTGAAGATCAAATTTGAAAAAAAGATTGAATTTGGGCCGGAACCCAAACCCATCAACAACAAAAGCAAGCCCAGCTCTCCTCTCCTCGCTCCACTTATCTTCACGCAAGAAAGAAAAAAAAGAACGGAGAATTGAACCGGCGACTTCTTCTTCTCCGCAAGACCATCTTCTTCTCCTACACTCCAACATTCAAGTCTCCAACGGGCAAAAATTCAACGGTAAAAAGCTCCTTTTTGCTAGTGGTGATTCCTTGAAGCTCCAATTCTTCAAGTTTTCTTCACCTTCTTCAACAATTGGTAACTCTATATTTGTCAATTTCTTTTTCTTCTCCAATTCTTTGTAAAGTGTTGTTTTTAGTTCAATTTTTACATTTTTGTTTGTTTGTTTGTGTTAATTTCAAAAATTCCAAAATGGTTGGTGTTCTTTTATGAGTTTTTTTAATGTTTATATTAAATCCCTTATGAATGAGAATTAATTCGTACTAGTTTTCTTCAATTCTTGTGCAAATTGTTGATGAATTGGTTGAATCACACGATTTGATTTCATAAGTAGGTTTGTATGTGGAATTCGGTTTTGATTGAAGTTATTTCAGCTCCATATTATAGTTAAATGATTTCCGAATTCATGCGTGATCCTTCATTGTGCTATGTGTTTTGTAAAATTTTAAGGATTTTGGACTTCTTAGCCTCATAAGTTGGACATTTTCCTTAAGATTCGTTATTGAGTGATTGTTATGTCGTTTGTTTATTCGTTATTTACTTATTTTCATAAAATTTAATGTTGTTTAAGCACAAAAATAATTTTTAAGTTTTTGAAAATATGTAATGTTTTCTTGTGTGAATAGATTACAGTTCTTATGCTTAAGTTGTTCAAAAAGACCTGCAAAATATTTTCATCATTAAAGTTTATTAAAGTGTATAAATGTTCTTCGTGAATAATTTATGCATGAGAGTTAGAATGAAAGAAAGATTAGCTCTTTTATAAACTTTTTCATTTTTTGGAATCATTGTTTGAGCGCTTGAGGTGAGTGGGGGTTCAAAGTGACCAAAAGGCCTTTGAGTTCTTGACTCCGGGCCTTATAGAGAGTTGACGATCCTCTATATGTGGTCAAGGATATGATTCAACTCGAGCCTTTGAATTATTTTCTATTCTTAAGTGCGTAAGTTACGTAATATGTTGTCTACGTGCCTATTATACGTGTAATGTTCAATTTGTGTTTGTTCTCTTTTTCATTTTGTTTCGGGTTATTGGCGGTGTTTCTTAGGTTACCTTTGTTCGAGAAGTTGATTATCTTTTGAGCTTGTTTTCCCCATTTTATCAAAAAAACCAAAAAAAATAAGAAAATATAAAAAACCAAAAACATATTTGCTTTTCATCCAACCCCCCAACCTTTGTGTTTTAAGTTCAAATATAAGTTTTTTTACTAAGTTATACTATAAGTGTTTGTTTATAAGTTATAAATATAAGTTTTTATATACTTAAGTATTTGTTATGAGTTTATAAGTTATATTATAAGTTCTTTGTTTATATAAGTTATATTTATAAGTTTTTATATTAATTTAGTTATAAGTTTTTTACGTCTTATCATATGTGTAGTAGTTAGTTTGTTTTATTTAGTGACAATGTGTGTGCATGCTAATTTGATTTCAAAAGTACAAACTTTCTCCGTGGGATCAACCTTTACTTGCCCTAGCTATAGTTTTTATTTGATTATATAATGGGGGTTAGCTAAGGATATTTTATAAATTTTTAATTTGTTTTGGACTGCACGACAAGTCTTTAACAATTACATATCTTGGTGGTGATTGAGCTTATTGATGATATATTGTAAATTTTGAATCGTGATGATAAAATATGCCACCTAGTAAGTCTAGGCGCATTTGAGTTGAATTGAATATTGAAACCACAAATAGAATTGGGAATTCGAAATTAAGGTCATGCGGGTATTGTCACATACCTGATGGTCTCGAGGATTAAAACATACGTACGGAAGTCAGTGACCCTCTGGTAAGAGCCAGTTGGGGGCCTCAACCCCCTCTATTAAGATATCTTTGGAGTTTGAGCGCGAGTTCTGGTGGGAGCTTGGATCCTATTACTCCCATATGATTGATGTGAACCTTTTCTGTTGTAGGTTAGGAGCAGTGGATAAAAGAATATACTAGGATAAATCCTGATTGATAATGATGTGATATGATTATGTTACATATTTATATGAAGTTGCGTTATTGTATGCATTTGTGGTACTACTTTGTAAGTTGATTCGATTGTTAGATATATTCTCACTTAGTTTTTAGTTGAGAGTTTAGTCTTTGTTGTTTTTGATTGCACGCAAATTGAAACCAGAGAATGGATGAGTAGTCCGGCGGTCAGTTATGCTTGGCAAAGTTGATGGATTCAAACTCTTTTAAATTGAATTAATTACTCTATTGATTTTATTTTATTTAATTTACAAGAATACTTTAGTGTTGTTGTTTGTAAAAGCTTCCACAATATGTGATTTGTTACTCCATTTGATTAATGTTTATTCTAAATTATCACAAATGGATGTTTTATTTTAAATGTTTTTAAAATACTATGAATGCGAATACCAAATTAGTAGCAATCCAATTTGTTAACTCATTTGCAGGGAACATCTTTCTCCTAACGGTCGGGGGGCATTGTCAATAAACACGAGGCAATCTCGTGTTGTGCCCAAGGGCGTTGGACACCAACATCGAACTCTATAGTCGACTCCTCGCGATATCACATATATTAGGCAAGAAGACACATATGTATGACATAGTATATCCAGGGTCAATTATAGCCAACATATCTAAACTAGGATCCACATGACATTGCATGACGTACGTCATAGCAGGAGCTCGATTGTGGTGTTACGCCGCTGGTTGCGATGATCTCTATTGTTGCCAGCGTTGTGGAAACAGTTGTGAAATATTAACTCAGTGCCGGTCTTGGTACCTACACTTGGCTTGGCGTTGATTTCAGCTGCGATGGGGATAGACTCCCATCATATGACGGGCACCCGCCATCGTTATAACCAATGAGGTTCATTTTACAATTAATGAGCTAACCATTAACAACTTTTTTACATTAACAGTAATGACGTCACAGAGCCATTGTTATAAGAGATTTAGAGTTACCTCCCGCAGTAGTGACGTCACAGAGCCATGAGTGCCCAATTTGTACATTTTGAAAAATAAGGTGCTTATTTGTTATTCGGACGTAAATCATTTTTAAAACTACATGCTTCGATAGTAAGATGCAACACACCAACCCGCGTAACCCGATTAAGAGGGTCACTAAATTGGTATCCACACGGCATTAAGTTTGAAAACATTTAATTCAAAACCATTCATTGTACTTAACACAAATCTATCGGAGTATTTTGAACAAATATTACAAAAGCCTTTAAAATGGTATTAGAAAACATTCCTTTAGCTTAGTAAATAAATTCAACAGAAGAGTAAACTCAAAATGATAACATGCGACCCACCCACTCCGTATGACACATCACTGGCCTTCGGGCTTCTCCTCTGATCGCTTATTTCTACTTGTGTGCAACCAAATATTAACTGAGTGAGAATTTATGTAACGCTAGAATTAACTTGAACAATAGTAACATGTTCTCACACAATCATAGAGTATCATGTGAACAAGTAACATTATCATACGACATCATGATCAACTAACATGCATTCCAGTTTGCACAATAGCCCACTACACATACTCTACATCAGCTAAGGCTCAACTAACATATTAGAGTTATGGACACCCGAGTCCAACCCTCGAGGCAAACGCTCATAACCCAAAGAAGATCTTTAATGGGAAGGTTGGAGCCCCTACAAAAGTAATCTATAGGTAGGTCCTGGACTCTCGTATGTAGTTTTAACCTAATACGACTAGGCATGTTAACACACACCCACAATGCCTAAATCCTAATCATGTCCAATTAGCGATTTCAATGCCCATGTTAGTTCAATTTTGCCTAGGTATACTAGGTGGCCCATATCTAAATCTTAACTCATAACTTAATAACATACATCACCAATAAGCTTCACACCTACATGCATATTCAATTCAAACAACGACCTATCAAGTGGTCAGAAGTCTCTCTGATTACCGTCATGCATCAAATATCACAATACAAAAGATTACAAATTGATACAAATTACATGTCGAACTATCCCACAATGCAAACCTTGTTACCACCTGGTGGTATTGGTATCACTTGCCGGTAGTCGGCTACCGCTACCGTATAAGTTTTGGTAGAATGTTTCGGTCGTATACGGTACCTAGCTACTGGAGCCATTGCATTACTATCGTCGTGCGATACTCTACTACCACCAACCAGTAGTAATCTACTATCACGTCATGCTGCTTGGGTAAAATCGTCCTCAACCTTTGCCCGACAATCTTCGACGAGGTCTCAGACATTATTAATTGTCGATAATATATCCACAATACAACACCAAGCATATTCATAATCATATTACAAGTCTTAAACATGCTCCCCCCACAGACTCAACACTATAAAGTCCAAAACATGGTTAATTAACTAGTTAAACGATCATACTTATGAACTCGAAATAAATCCTTAGAAGATATATAAACATAGAGTTAATCTATAAGCTAATCTAACCATTGACATATGAACCACGACTCACCTTAATCTAACGTCTTATCAGCAGCTCTAATCGCGCTCTCTCTCTCTAAGCCCGCATTGCACGAGCAAAAGAAGACGATGGTAAGGATCGGTGATGATTGATCAACAAAAGTACAAAGATGTGTGCGTGCGTATACATACAGATATTCATAGGGTTAGGGCTTAATTACTTTTTAATTCAATTAGGATTTGTTCAATGCTTAAATCATTGGCATTAGACATTTTGAAATTAAAATGACTCGAGCACTTACAATGCAACGTTAGTAAAACTGATGATTCTTACAAATCGACGATTTAGAGAGGGGGTGAAGGGGAGTGGGGCTAGGGGTTGGAGTAGGGTGAATGTATAGAAAATATCAATTTTAACAACGGAACACAGTAGGTGCCCGAGTGAGTTAATCTCAAAAATTCTCATGTCAAAAGATCCACACGCTTTTATATTTTATACTCTCTGTCATGCATTAATTTTTACACTTTTATATCAAAACTTCCCTAAAAACTATTGAAAAATAAAAAGTGATAGTTGAATTTTATTTTGAATAAAGAGAAGAATTATGAACCATATATTTTTAAATTAATCTGTGAAAATTATTTTGAGAAAATTTAAAAAGGATAATGCTAATATAAATTCGAGAACATATAATTCTAATTAGAAGAATTTTTTTGGACAATGAGATTATGAGCTTATTTGGAAATTTTTTAGAGTTAACTTTTTAGATTTTTTAATGATGTAGTTTAACTTTAAAATGTTAAAGACAAGCACTCACTATATACTACCTCCGTGCCTAAATAATACTCCCTCCATTCTTAAAAACCTTTTGTGAGAACCGTATACTTAGTTATAATATAAATATAATATAATTGAGTTCATCATAGATATATTAAATTTTTATATCATTTATTTATTTAGATTATGTTTATTTTATGATCAAAGAGTGTCATTATTTGACTAAAAATATCAAAATAAGAAAGATTTTTTGGACCGTAGGGAGTTTGATTTTTCCTTTCTTTTTTTGAATATCCTAAATTAACCTTCATTTTTTAAAAAAGAAAAGAAATACGGAGTATGTATTTAATTAGTGTCTCTCCCTTCTCATCAATTTTTTTTTCATTGTTAAAACTTTTTACTCCATGCGTCCCAAAATATTTGTCACACTTGTTTTTTCAGCACTCGCGAGAACTTTTGTTTATTTCTATGTTTTCATTGGTTATTTGATAAAATAAAATATTCTTGACACCTGTTATTTCGAAGAATTTTTCATGTAATTTTTTGATCTGTAAATTTTATTTTTTATTTCTATACCTATATAAACCAAAAAAATTGAAAAAGTTTGATATTTTAACTCAGTGATAGAAGCGTGACAAATATTTAAGGATGGAGGGAGTAATTTTTTTAGAAAAATCACGAAAAAAAAGATTATTTTAAAAAATGACAATAAAACCTAAATCTCATAAAGTGAGGTAGTGAGCTCCCCGGCATCGCCTGACACTCGAACTCTTGGGGCCAACCCATCGATAAATCGTTTCATTTTTTCCCCCTTCCCAAATTAGGGCTTCGAAATTCATGCGTTATTCATTCTCCCTTTCAACGGCGAGAGCGGATTGTTAGATTCTTTGAGACTATCTTGGCTTGCCGGAGCGATTTTGTGCTAAATCTCCGATGAGTATGCGAGGAAGGTACCCGCCCGGGATCGGGAATGGTCGCGGCGGCGGCGGAGGGGGCGGTTACGGAGGGGGCAGCGGTTACAGTGGGG